CCAGTTAATCCTTAATTAATGAAGAAATCTTCAGCACTTGGATTAATTAAGAAATTAACAATCAATACAATAAATTACCCTAGTCGAGTGATGTAGGGCTTTTTTTGCCCATGAAAACTCAGCTTTGACTAGGAATTAATTTTCCTAAGAACCGAGACGATGGAATTTGGGTTTAAGGGGATCAGAAGGAGGTAACGCTGATACCTCTATCATTAAACCATCTTGTACAACTTCGTGTAATGTTTTGCACTTCAAAAGTACAATAGACCTATTCCTTTAACTCGTTCAAAACGAACAAGCAAACATACATTTCTAAATAAAAACGCAACATCGATCACTTGGGGATAATGATGGTCACGACTGGTGACAGCAGACTGAAATAAACACCTATAAGATCAAACTAAACTTAACTGTAAACTAACCAAAGGCATTAAAGACAATGTTTTAAAAACTATATAGATCGCGCTCTCGTAGATCCCGACAAAAAGCTCTCCAAACATTTCTAATGAAAAAAGTGACATTTGTTTTACTTGGTTTTTTAAATTGGAAACGATCCCCGGTTGTCACCGAGGTTTCCCATCAGTTAGCAGTTCTAGTTGTGTTACTTTGGTTTAACTTCACTGAGGAGGGAGTCCTTTTTGTATGGGCGGTGTGATCGTCATAGATAAGCAGCATCAGGGGATGTTACAGCAGTTAACATTGCTGCTTCTCATACAGTGTGTGTCCCATCAAAGCTTAACAACAACAATTAAAAAAACCCAAGAAATTAACAAATATAAAATTGTTTTGAGAGCTCTACATATTACTCGACAATGAAATAGCATCAGGGCACAAAAGAGACGTTTAAATGAAGAACCCAAAACAGAAATGTTGTGTTTTCTTTGTTTTTAAACTAATATTTCACTATATTGTTTTCCTTAATCAACTGAAAACATGTATAAAAGCGAAGTTAAGAGACAGCGCCGACAATCGTAAAAGAGTTAACAGTTATGCATACCATGAGTGGTATTGGATATGTACAGTTTAAAATTGTGATGTTTTTGTCATTTACAACATGTTATCCTGTATGTAAATAGACCGAGTAGTTTTAAATTCTGAACCATTATATTAGTCAAAAACAGTTACTTAACTTGACATTTGTTTTTAAGTTTTATTCTTACAATTAAAAATAATTATGAAGCTATTATGGTCCGAATTAGCTGTTAGTACAGTAATAATGGAATTTGTTAAGCTAAACGCTATAATGCAGGCCTGTTGTACACAAAGGTGCAGAGAAACAAGCGAAGCAGATTGGGTGTAGACATTTACCTTCCATGTGTAAGTTTACTCACGTTTTTTGAGGAAGATTTGCTACCGGCCCTTCTCAAAATACTGAACCGACTCACATAAATCATCCCCACGTGCAGGCCTGCATAGATAAAGCTCTTTTGTGTCTAGTTTTCGAAGTTCCCAGGCTTATCCCTAACGAAATTCTGCAATACAGTTCCCAACACCTTCAGCCTCATAGAATCGTTTTGTTTCTTATATAATTCTATTTATACACGTAAAAATCTATTTTATTTATCATATTTATATTGTCCAAACCATTACGTCAATTAATATTATTTAAGATTAATAGTAGTGGCCTACTAAAAGCTTGCCGTGAAATATTGATGCTATTCCTGACTTTGTGCAGCGTAGCCAATTAACTAACTACTGTAATTAAGCTGATTCATTATCACCCCGTCCGTTCCAAAATGTGACATTTAAAGCAAATACATTTGGTTACTAATATAGATTAGCTGTCATCTTTCTGATATTTCAGTATTAAAGGTCGATAAAATCCATAAACAAAAAGTACTAAATACAAACAAATAGGTTGCCTTCTGCGTTTTAAACAGAGTCGTTTAAAGGTGTTTACAAACTTTAGATGATAAAGATGAAAACTTTATCTAATAACCCGGTCCAAAAAGCACAGGTTCATATAACGTTTGAAGACTTCTTCGGCGACAAAGAAGTGTTACTCAATTCATCGATAGCGGGGCTCTATTACCACACTTAAGCATATTACGATATTAAAGATAACACAAATAAGTGGTTCAAGGTTTTGTCGTTGGAACAATGTACAATGTTTCTACAACAAACAGCTTTTTGTGTTAGCGAAATCTGATGTCACTTGTTTACCTGTCCATAAAAAAGTCAGAAAATAACTCATAATTATGAGGAGAAAAGAGAAGCATTAAGCAATTACCATCCTTTTCATTAGACCCATATTTCTCTCTCGAGTCTAAATAACGACTGGGAACACCCTTAAATGGCCGCTTTTGTCACCTTCAAGACTACAATGTTCTAATATACCATTGTGCTCTTAAAACCCATAAATTTGTCACTGGGGGCTGATTAAACACCAGAGAATTGAAACACTACGGATTTTGTCTTAGTCCCTTTGGGTCACACAATAGTCTTTTCAATACGAGACACAAAAAGGGAGTTTGAGAGGCGAAGCTCCAGGGAGACCATCCTAGTTATAGTCCCCTCCATATGGAATACAAGGTGGCCAGCAGGACAGAACAAAGGGCCAGGTGACAGCGGAGACTCACCACTCCGTCCGGTGGCAAGCAAGCATCGAATTAGGGGCGGAATCCCGGATTGAAATATTTCGCTTCTTCCTTTCGGTTTCGTACTCCCGACAGCTTTCTTCCATTAAAGTTTTTGATGCACATTGCTGAAAAGTAAATTACTCAACCTCCGAGGTTCAAATGAGAAATTCCGACTGAATAGCCATGCTGAGAAATCGTACCTGGTAACGAGTTATATTATAAGAAGAAGAAGAAAATAAATAAATATGCTCCATTTACAGTTAAATTCCCAAATAGATGAAAGCATTGTTAGCAGTTTCATCACTATTTCAAAAGGCAAAATATGAACTACCCCGTGAGGGAGTTTCAAAAATCGGCTTTTTAAACTGCGTCGTTTTCAAAATATTATATTAAATGTAGTAGTTCAGGTGGGTAGCTGCGTCAGCATGGGTAGGCTGCAAAGGAACAAGTGATAGGTATATTCCATGCTTTTTTTCCAGCATGGAATAAACTTATTACTTATTATATAAAATATCAAGTTATCGAATGGTTGAAACATAAGTAAATATATTCGCTATAGTGTGAAATTAGTCTTTTTTATGTGTCAGCCGTAGAAACTGTTCGCTGTAGAAAAATAAGGAGTTATTAAGCAAAACAGCCATCTTCATAAAGAACACACGACTTGGAGTTACAAGCGAAAACACAGTGCACCTTGTTCTAATAAATGCATTTGACATTCTTGTGTCGGAGGATATTTTTTTTATAGAACAACGGTCCTACAAATGTTTTCTCATATGTGAACTTCTCCCATAAAAGAAAACCATTTATGAAAAAAAAAACTTGGTAAAAATGCCAGAACTCCTAGAATATTTTGGGACTTTCCATGTCATAAAGTCATTTTTTCTCTCGAAAGCATAGAGCGTAAGGTGGCTCTACACCCTGAAAATAACGTCGGAGCATCGCAGAGCGCAAACACAGGGTCCTTTCAGGAACACAGCCTACTTAGCCAGCATGTTTCTGGAATAAGGAAGGAGCATATAAAAGGAAGGAATAAGGAAAAGAATCACGTCACAAAGAAAACATGCGAACTCCACATAGACGTCGACCCAGTCTGGAACTGGATCCAGGTGAAAAGATGAAGCAGCGACGGGGGGCAGTATATCGCCCTTCTAGCAATACGTTGTATACTAAACTAAAACATTTTGCCGATATGGTGTGTATAAGACTGTAAAAGGAATGAGGTTCTAACTTTTTCTCTGAACCATATTCTCGTAACTTTGAAACGCAGCTTTACCATGAAGTCTAAACGAAATGTACAGTATTCGTCAACCTCAATAACGATGTTTCAATATACGTGTTTTGGTTTATTCTGACAAACGAAGGGATATTCATTTAAAACATTTGCTTGTTTTTCGGGTGTGAAGTTTAATTGACTGCACTTAATACATACTTAAAACTATCTGCTAATGTTTACCTATAACGATTTTGCTCTTGACAGTCATTGCTGCTGAGAATCAGAGCATCGAAGGGAGCGGCACCAGTGTGAGGTTGTGTGATTGGAATGGGACTGGTGATACCTGCTGCACCTCCCGGGCGATTGAATGACTCAGTAGTTACCATGCAGCAGGTACTACCCGGCCTATTGGTTGTCGTTCCATATACAGAACGTTCCACCCTCTTCCATTCCATGTTCTGATCATAATCGGATCGGGTGTCATGTCAGGTACCCAGGAGTTTGCAATATTGCTGAGTCAGAGACCCATTTTTGTACGCAGTACTGATGCTATTATCACAATTCCCCCTTTTTGTTGTGTGTTTTTAGCGTTTATCATCTTAATAAAGACACATTAGAGGAATCTCAGAAACTGGTTGGTAGCAGGCACTGCTAATTGTGTGCAAGTCCACAAAACCATCAACGAAAAGTAATCCAAGGAGGAAACAAATCGATCTGTTTTTTCTTCAAACGAAATGCAGCCATTTCTTTGTCGATTTTATTTACTAGAAAATACTTAGATAAAAATTAGTTTAGACAATGAAAGTCGCACATCTGTTACACAGACTACGACTTCAATTTCGGTTCGTAAACAAATAGCATTTTTTCTTAAAACAATGATCAACCTGTTGCTATTATTTAGCATTGGTATATAGAAAACTCGTGATTTCCATCTAAATACAAAATCACAGGCTGCAGACAGATCTTTTCTGAACTTTCAGTAACACAATGGTTTCTTCTAATGGGGTCTCCTTCGAAAACCGTTTTGATATATAGCTCTGAACGTCAGTGTCAGCTGCAGTCAATTTTGTTTTTTATTCGAAATAGCAAGCAAGAAATATTACAATTTATTCATTTACCCCTTTGAACGATTTATATATATGACGGTGATGCACAATGATATTTATTGTAACCTAAAAGGTGTTAAAATAATGTTACCAAAGGATATACAATGAATGATACGAAAAAACTCTTTATTAAATTTAACCGAAACATTAAAATGCGTTTAATTTTGGTTGCCATTTTGGTTGTAACTTCAAAGAACAAGGTGTTGAGATTTTTTTTTATCTTACAGCGACAATACAAGAAAGACACCGTGCAGCTGCAAAATACTCTATCAAAGATTTAGTGCTTTTCAGAACAATTAAAAAAAAGAAGACCAGGTCTTAGGAATCAGCAGTTATGATTGTACACTGGAGTAGTTGGTAAAAGTAATGCTATTGAAATATTTTCATTGATACAGACTATAAAGCAAATGCATATCCAAAATTGTGCTTTTCTTAATAATTCCAAAATCTCCAATGACACATTAAAATAAAATCTATCATTGCTATTGCTATTAAGAGTAACCGAACTCCTCGAAAAACATAGCTCTTCAGTAATAAATGAACCTGTGCAAAAAAGTTCATAAATGTCCACATCAAGCTGAAGTCTTTGTTCCGAGAGGATTTTGCTAACGCGGGTAGTTTAATCCCAACAGACAGGCGACAGTGATTACTAGTTACTGTAAAATTAATCAAATGCAGTTCAAATGCTTTCTTGAGATTATAAGCTGCAATTCAAAAGCTGTACTGCAGTCCAAGACCCGACAGGTACCCCGGTTACCAAGCCCAGTGATGCCTGGACGCTGCAGGGCTAGTTAAGTGCTGATAGCCGGGAATCAATGTCAGGGGAGCGGCGTGATGAAGGGGCTGGTACCCATGGAGAGCAAAGGACGCGGGCGGTGCTGATGTGGAGATGCCGCAGCCAGGTTTGTCCTGAAACTGTGCCGAGTCGATGACGCAGGTGTGGCACGGTTTTCCGTCCCTAACCAGCACCGGTACGACCACCCTACGCAGAAGCGGGGTCTGGCTGAGGTCTGTAGATCCCTCGGTCCTGGCTCGTTTCATTTTGTATCTGTGGTTCTGAAACCAGATTTTCACTTGGGTCGGTGTCAAACTGAGAAGATGGGCGAGCTGCTCGCGTTCAGGGGCGGAGAGGTAGCGCTGCTGCCGGAATCGCCTCTCCAGCTCAAAGGTTTGGGCTTTGGAGAAAAGAACCCGTCGCTTCTTCTTTTTTTCGGCTTCTGTCTCTGAACTGGGCTCTGCTTTCTGGGTTGAATCTGGAAATGTCTCTGGACAGCTCTCGTCAGATGCTAGAAAGACACAAATAGTTTATACGACTCTCTGTAGGCAGTACTGTAAATGCATTTTAAAACAACGTAATTAACCACATTGGACGTGGTTAAGCGCCTCTATTGGATGCAAGTCTCTTAAAAAAACGAATTATGCTAAAATGTCGAAGACTAATCTAATTTAATAGAACTATGCTTTAAATGTTTGAGAGGTTTTTAATCTAACGGATTAAGTTACCTACGAAATGTCACCTTGAAGTCTCAGTATCTCCTCGCTTAAAAAAAAGTGAACTTACAAATAAATATATCATTCACATAAAATAATCATTCCACAGAAACTTTGGCAAAGTAGAACATTTAATCGAAAAATATTAGTACACAATCGTGTAATAAAAAAAACATTACAAATATCTTGATCTAATTAAGATGTTGAATGATTATTCAGTCTGGAAAGTGTGTTTTTTGTGTAAAATTAAAATATATCCAGATACTTACATAGGCAGTGACTTCTGTCACCTTCTGACCACTCAGAATATGAAGAGGCAGAACAGCTTTCTGGGGAATGACCCGCCTCATGCTCCGGTAAATCCAGAATACTACGAACAGTAAAACTGATTTTTGCAGAAACAGACATCATATAGCGATGCGTTGACGGTGCATACAATCCTTAAAAATAAAAAAAAACACCCAGAAACGAAATCCGACGACTCCGCTAAAGGAGAACGAACGGAGAATAGGAGGTGTGCGCGCTGTCAAATCGCAAACTCGAATATTCGCGTCGTTTACGCTGCGGTGTTTATATAAACAGCTCTCCGCACTCCAAACACTGGCGGCTTTCAGATCGTCCCTCTCCGTTGGACACTAAGTACCTGAATGACTCAAATGCCCAAGCCCCTGTGAGGGGAAGGTGTAAGAACCCAGAAGAATAATACAGACACTTCCCAATGGCAGCAGGAAACACGCTTTATCATTACATATTCAGCCTGATTAGCCAAAAGTGGGAAACAGATAATGGTAATTGTTGCGGCTGAACTACTTCTTGGGTGGTAAGTGACAACAACCAACCCCCCTCCCCAACTAACATTACAGCTATTTGCATACAAAGTGAACCATTAGCAGGCTGACTATATTTGATTTTACCAATTCATTACGGATGTTTCTGATCTTTTTT